AAAACCCAAAGCTAAAGATAAGATAAAGATAGGATGGAAGAAGAAATGTAGTTGTAAAAGCTCTAAAGGTTGTTAGGACATCTTGAGTCATCCTGGCAGAGAGTAGGAAGCAGGGTTCAGAGATGCTTCTTAGGCACACTTGTAAAAAGCATGAGTGAGTCTATCTGTCTTTATCTCACTGCCCCCAGTTTTTAGTCCTGGCCCTAGCTGAGCTTGGGGTCACTCTGGAAAAGGGTCTTTATGTAAGAATGCTAAGTATTTGAGTGGGCCACCCAAAGTTCAGGTAGGATTTGGGTGTAATGCAGATGGAGGAATCTGAGTACATACCATCAGTTTCTAAATGAAATTTATACATTGTAGAGTTAGATTATTCGATAGATGTGGCATTGAACAGTTAGGTCAAGAAAATTCAATACTGTATGACAATTCCAGTAAGATAAAGTGATTACTTAAAATGTGAACAGAAGAGTTAAAATAAATTTAATAAAGATTTTTATATATTCATTCCTACGGAGATATCCATTAGGCTCACAATTTGTTCATTTTTCATCAAAGTTTAAATGGACGAGGAATTAAATAAGCACTGGAGAAACTGAGAAGATTAGGACATATTATTCATTTATTCAGTGATTACTGAGAGAGTCTATGTATGTTGGGCTCTGTATTAGAAGCTGGGGATAGAGCAGTAAACAGGCACAGTCCTTGTCCTCATGGAGTTTACATTCCAGTGTGGGATAAAAGTGATAAGTAAATAAGTGTAATGTCAGGTAGTGCTAAGTATTATGGAGAAAGATGTAGTGGGATAAGAGGTTAAAGAGTGCTTCTGTGCATGTGTGTGTTTGGTTTGTGTGTGTGTGAATGTGTTAAATAATGTGGTCAATTGAAGCTGAAGAGGATTTGCAGAAATAGTGTCAGGCTGGAGGAAGACAACTGCAGTCTTTAAGGGAAGAAGTTTGGTGTGTTTGAGGAATGTCAAGGTGGCTGGAGTGGCTAGAGCAGAAATACTGAAGAGGACAGTTAGGGGGATGAGGTTGGAGAGATAACAGGGACCATGTCATGGAGTGCTTGGTAGACCATGATACATGATAGGGTATGAGTATGAGTGGATTGGAGGATTTGGGGCTGTAGACAGTCCCCCTGCCAGTGTGTGAAGAATTGACTGTAGGGGCAAGACAGGAAGCAGGGAATGGGGACGTGATTACAGTGGTTTGGAAGAGAAATGATAGTGGCTTGGACAAGAGTAAAAACCATGCAGGTGGTGAGAAATGATGAAGTTCTAGATGTATTTTAAATCTTGAGCTGACTGGTGGTAGGAAGAGAGAATAACTAATGGTCTGAATGGGGACGGAGGTGGGATATTGTCAAAGGAAGAAAGATGTCAGGGACACCTAAGTTTTTGTTCTGAGCGACTAGGGGGATATGTGCTTATATCGTGGTCATGTGTTTATATGGGAAAGACTAGAGGAGGAGGAGATGGGGGAAGTTAATAAATTCTGTTTTGGACTGGTTAAGTTTGAGATGTCTGTTATTTACCTAAATGGACAGACAGTTAGGGTCTGGGTCTGGGGGATTTTGGGGATAGAGATATAAATTTGGGAGTCATAGTATATAAATAGCATTTAAAGCCATGAGACTAGATTCAATTAACAAAGGCATGAGTGTAAATAGAGAAGGGGTCTTAGTGGCTAAACACTAAGAGGTATGCCAACATATAGCGATTGGGAAGATATGCAGAAGGCAGCAGAGGAGATGGCAAGAGATTTGCTAGTGAGGAGAATAAAAATCAGGAGAATGTGGTATCCCAGAAATCAATCAAAGAAAGTGTTTTAAGAAAGAGTAATAAACCATAAAAAAACTCCAAAACATCAAGCCAGATGAAGATTGAGAGGTGAGCACTGGATTTGAAAAGACCATGCACTTACCCTTAGATCTCCAGGCACAGTGAGAAAGGGAAAATGAAGAAACAGACGAATTGTCATACAATGGAGGAAGTTGTGTTCCAGAAATGTAAACACATTTCTGGAGATGTGTTAAAGGTGGAGCAAGGAACTCCCTGTGTGGAGTCAAGGAAAGCTGCATGGAGGAGATATACTTTTGGATTGTGGTAGGTAGAAGGAAGGAAAAGTAAGAGTCATAAACCTTTAAATGATTTTTCTAGTTGGTTGTTGATTTTTCTACTCACTCATGCAAAACTAGTATTTCCCCTTCCAAGTTAACATCCTACTATTATTACTTTATGTAAACATATTTGTTAATTATCAGTACACATGGTAACTATATTAGAAGGACAATATATATACTCCATCACATCCTCCACTTGGAGATACTCTTGGAATTATAATTTTCCTTGTTGTCTTTATTAATTACATTTTTATTTCCTTTCATAGCTGTGTGCAAGTATAGAGACTCTATTCCTAATAAAAATAGTTACCACGTTCTCAACACTTATTATGTGTTGAGGCACCGTTCTAACAACTTGATGTATATGTATTTTTTTGTTCTCACAAGCAATCCTAATGTTTCTGTTGTCCGTTTTTCCATTTGTGATACTTGAGGGACAGAGAGGTTAAATAGTTTGCTCAAGGCCACAGTAATAGCAGTTCCATTAGTAGAACTGGGCTGTCTAGCTTCAGAGCTTACCACCTTGGGAAGTCTGCTGTACTTCCATCCTTCCTATTATATCTCTACTTTCCTGAGGTGGACAGCTATAAGGGAAAAACCTTTAAGGGATAGGCTCTCTTTGACTTGAATGGCAGTTTTCTGTATACTAAGTAATCCAGCTGCAGGTTGTTTTAGAATGGGCCAGTAGGATGCAGGGACTGAATACTGGGTACTTCTCTACATGCGAGGAGAGCATTAGATTTTTTACAATTGATTGCCAGATTCTCATGACTGTATAAGGATTTATATTCAATCAGTGTATATGTGGGGCAGGTGGTATAGAAGGAGCTGGATGAGTCTTTGCGATGGAGAAGATCTCTCTACTAATGGAAATGCTCACTTCATTATGATCCTCGACATACATGGTTAATGTCTTCATTTCCTTTATAACCTAACTGAAAGCACATGAGAAGCTGGTGTACTTAAAAAGGCACAAAGTGTAAATCCAAGCCAGTTTTTGGGAGTGCCTACTGTGTGCAGAGTATTGCTTTGGAGGCAGTGGCTGTGCTTTCTTGATAACTAAAATCACAGAGTAGCCAAATCTTTCAGGTGCTTTGATGCTCAAATAACAGTAAGCGTGTACACCATCGAAATATAAACTTACTTGATCCAAGTGGAATCTAGCAGCGATTCCACCCTTGTTCATCTCTAGTGTGTTTTTAATAGGCTGACTTTACCTCTGAAGATGGTTTTATCCTTTCTTCCCTATACTACACTGTAACTGGTTCATCCAATAGTTGGGGATTGGGGTACATGATTTTCAGAAGCACTTGAGGCCTCTCCCCTTAGTAGACATTGGGTTCTACCTCTGATCTAAAAGTTTTTGAAATTAGGTACCAGCCAGTTACCCTTTCCTAGTAGAAAGAGGGTGTGGGATAAATAGCCTTTACTAAGATGTTTAAAGATCAAGTATCCTAGTTAACTTTCTTACATCACAGGCCCTGTAATTTTATAGTTTTTTTCCTCAGGGTGAAAGTCTACCTGTTCTTCTCTTTATTCTGTTCCCATTAAAATGTTCTCTGGGCATAGTCATCATATTTCCAGAAAACCTTAAGGGGACTAGAATTACAGTTTGCTCTTAATTTCTACAAATACAGAAAAACTTCCTGGGAAATGGATGCTATTTTCACTGTGGTTCTCTCCTTGTCTGCTATGTAATATTGTCATAAATCATGTAAATGTAGGAGGAGGGGACTTACGTGATTGTTTAGCTCTGGAAAAGAAGCTACTTCCTACCGAACGGGGATTTCAAATGGCCACATAGCAAAGTCTTCACTCACACAAGTTTCCTGTGGGGCCATTTCCCCTTTGCTGAACCAGACCCAAAGCTGAGGTGAAGGAAGAGAAGTTTTCCTCTTATAAAATCTCAAATCTCTGATAACTTATCACTATGTTCAAAAAAGTTATAAAATTTAGGCTACTGTACACTTACTTGAAGAATTTCATGAGCTTGCTTTTTGGATACTTAGTAAGATCTGTTTTAGAAATTAAGAGAAAAGTTAGAGTCAAAATGGAAAAATTGAAATAAGCTTTCCCACTGACAAATATGCCTACAAACTCTGGAACGCTCTAAGAAATAAAACTGAAAAAATTAAATTGTGACTATAGTATTTTAACTGTTGTGCCCTGAAATATCTTATGCCCAATTTTGTCGTTTCTGGACATAGCTAAAATGATTCAAATTTTATTTTTATTTCTATGTTTACTTCAAAATCATATTAACTAAAAGTATTTCTTTTAATTCAGGATACAGATTGCCTAATAGATACTTAAAAACCTTTTAATACTTTCTCCTCATCTATGACCCCAGGAAAATGAAAGTGCGGTAGTATAGTATCAGTTGTTATAGAAAAATGAGTGTCTAATCTTTGTTAATCTTGACATTTTTATTTATGAATAGCATGAAGTAAATATATGAAAAGTGGCAGAAACACTTCTTTCACCAGTTGTATGGTTAGTGGTGATTTTTTGTGTGTGTGTGTGAAAAAGATTGTGATGCAATCACAGTACATTTTAAAATATTCACAATAAAAAGTTGATGTATCTTCAAGAGAATGTTGGGTAAAAATCTCTGGCCTGAAGCCTTCAGGAGAGTTTGGGGTATTTCCTAGTGGGATTCATTTGTATAAGGAGGAAAAAGTGTTACAATACAAACTGATGTACAGATTATCCGAATAGTTCCAGCACACCTTGGTTGTAGGTTATGTTAAACTACCTGGCTGCTGCCAGGCTCACACCCAGTACTGACCTTAGACATAAGCCAGGCCCCTCTGAAATCGGGGCGTTCCCCCCGCATCGTTCACCCCCTATGCAGGGACAGCTCGTTCGCCTGCTCTTACCTGCGTAGTGGTCAAACACAGTGGGCACGTACTCCTCAGGGAAGGCATCATTGGCGTAGCTCATCAACAGGCAGGTCTTGCCCACAGCGCCGTCCCCCACCACCACACACTTCAGCATCTTCTTCTCCTCCGTGCGGCCGCAGCCGCAGCTGCTGGCACTTCCCTCCTTGCAGTTCATGCCTGCGGCAGGGCTCCAGCTGCGGGGACCGCTCAGCTGCTCTTGCCTCTCCTGCTTTCCCGGAGCCCCCGGAGCGGCGAGGAGCGCGCGGCGGGCTTCAGATCACTCTGACTTGCTCTGGGCGCCCGGCCTCAGACAGACCTGTCCCAGGCAGCCGGCCCATGCCCTCTTGCTCACCATACTGGTAAAGAAATGTGACACTCTTGGTGGAATAAGAGGGTCTCTCCCTTTTTCCTATCAGTTTGAGTTAAGAAACCCTCATTTTCACCGAATTCTAGGAGCTTCCTGGCAACTTAGAAATGTCAACAGCTTGAGGGTTTCACTCTGCTCTTCCCCTCTTCAGCCTGGCTGAAGACACGGTGGAATTTTGCTAAATCTTCCCCATTTTCCACTTCATATCTAACATGGAGGAAAGCTGGGCTTTTTAATGGAGTTTTCCCCTTGCTTCCTCCAGCTTGCCGAGTATCAGGAAATCATGGGTTTCCTGCTGCATTCCATATTAGGATCAGTGGGCTGGGGAAGGCTGCAACAACGGGAGCTCTGTGTGTGTGTTTGTACTTCTGGGGAACGCTGCCAGGCCATGGAGTGGGAAAACACTAGGGGTCCCCCTGCAGACTCGAGCTGTCAGACTTCCTGTTCCATCCGCGGCCGGGAAGGTTGTTGGCTTGTGGCTGGCTGAGAAGAAGCCGACGAAAGGATGGAAACTGGGGAGCGCTGTCTGCCGCAGAAACAGAGGGAATGGGTTAAATGAGCAGGAAGAACCACACCAGCCGTTGTAGGATAACATATGACATCATCCCTCACTGAGGCACCAGTTAAAAGGTCTGCGAATTAAACATGGACAGTTCTGCACATACTTAAATGAGAAACCTTAAGCAATTCATCCCTGCAACAAAGGAGAAAAACCTTCCTGGGTTTTTTTGTTTCAAAGGGAAACATTCTTGTAGATCATAGGTGTGCTATGTGTGTTATAAGCTGCCACATTTGAACACAGGGTTCGAATGTGTATTCCAGAAACAAGCATCTTTATAGTTGTAGCACATAAGAAATCAATCAGATGTGGGATGTTTGCATCTTCTTATTAGTGAATAAACACACATATGCTTGGCTCACACTCACTCTGGGAAATGAAAGTATGTGGGACAGCTTTATTTGTTTGTTTCAGGTCCCCAAATGCTGCTTTCGCATGATGGTTCTCTTTTTGATTTACTCCTAACCCCAGTCTGGCCCTCTTCAATCTGGGTTTTTTTGTTTCAAAGGGAAACATTCTTGTAGATCATAGGTGTGCTATGTGTGTTATAAGCTGCCACATTTGAACACAGGGTTCGAATGTGTATTCCAGAAACAAGCATCTTTATAGTTGTAGCACATAAGAAATCAATCAGATGTGGGATGTTTGCATCTTCTTATTAGTGAATAAACACACATATGCTTGGCTCACACTCACTCTGGGAAATGAAAGTATGTGGGACAGCTTTATTTGTTTGTTTCAGGTCCCCAAATGCTGCTTTCGCATGATGGTTCTCTTTTTGATTTACTCCTAACCCCAGTCTGGCCCTCTTCAACTACAAAGGAGCCCCCTGCAGCTAATTTATTTGTCTGTTGGGTTGCTCAAAATGAAGCCCCTTTGAAGCCCTGTGTTTGATTAATGTACTTGGTCATAGGAAAGAAGTGGAACCCTACAAAAGATTTTTAAAAATGGGTTAAGTACTTTTTTGATGGGGGGATCTTCATGTTTCTTTGAGATTTTCAAGTATGTACTATAAAAATGCAGATTATCCAATTGATTTGAGAAGGTTTTCTTGGTGGAGTGGGTGGAAAGAGAAGTGTTTTAATAGGTGGCTATCAATTATGCACACACATACATGTGCTTCTGTATAACACATACAGCCCCAAAACTCTTCTGTTCTGGCTTATAGTAACATTTGCCATAGTGCTTAGTGTACCAATATTTCTTTCCTATAAAGGATGGTGTTTCAGATGGTGGTGTACGCGTACCAGATTGTGTTGCTGAAACAAAGCTCAACGATATAAACGATTTAAAGTCACATGTATTTCTTGTTTCCTTTGTATCTATCCTGTGTATTTTGCCTTTTTCATTGAGGGATCTAGGCGGGTGGAACGGCCACACTGTGAACACTGACAATCACTGATGCAGAGGAAGAAATTCATGTGGTAAAGTGACATTGGCTCTTAAAGCTTCCTCTGGAGGTTCCATTTCTGCTCATATCCATTGGCACAGTGCGTCACTGCCCAGGCTAGGATCTACAGGGTCAGAAGTACAATTCTACCATATGCCAGGAAAGGGAGAACCAAGTATTGGTGAATAGCCTGAATAGTTTAGAGATCGTTTAGATAAATAGAGATAGTTTAGTTGAGGTTGAGGTAGCAATAAAAAAATTGAACTGTTTATGGTTAATCCCATTCTGAGCATTTGAAAGCACCTATGACTTCATGTGATTAATAAATTTTATTTTTAGTCTACCTGAAATACCTGGAATATATGACGATAAAGTTGCAACTTGAAAACTTGTATTTTTCTTCTAGAAAAAAGGCACAAGTGTGATGTTGGCAGCCAAACAAATCCGCAGGTGAAGGAGTGATTGATAGTGTCAAGAACCCCTTCCTACAGATGAACAAGACCACTTTGAGCACAATGTGATGATGTGTGTTTGGTAGAACTCTGAGGGGGTTCTGACTTTAACCTTGTTCCTGAGATCAGACAGGAAATGTTGTATGAGTAAACATCCCGTTCATACATGGAGGTCTTAACCATGGCTGCCGAGCCTATGTTCTGACGCTATAAGTATGCCCCAGCCCACTGAGCCCTTGGCCTAGGAAGAAACTGAGAAATGGGATTGGTTGATCAAAAAGATATATGCACCCCTATGTTTACTGCTGCATTATTTGCAAAAGCCAAGATATAGAAGCAACCTAAGTGCTCATCAATAGATGAATAGATAAAGAAGATGCTGGGCATATATACAATGGAATATTATTCAGTCTAAGGAAGAAAGAAATCCTGCCATTTGCAACAACTTGGACTGGCTTAGAGAGTATTATGCTAATAAGCCAGGCAGAGAGGGACACATACCATATGATTTCACTTACATGTGGAATCTAAAAATGAAACTAAACAAAATGAACAGTCACTGAGAAGCGATTACCATGGGTGGCTACCATGGGGGAGGTTGTGGGTGGTGGGTGGATGAAATAGAAGAAGGGGATAAAAAGGTGCAGAATCTCAATCATGATATAAATGAGTCATGGGCATAAAAGTAACCTAAACCTTGTACCCTCATGGGTACATATTTAAATACATGTTGACTGCTATGTGGACTGCAAATTGAGACTTCTAAGAGACTTAAAGCAGCCAGCTACGAGTCCTTTATCTCTAACTTAAAGGAATGGTACATCTGCAAGATTGGGTTGTATGCAAAGATAGGTCATGACTGTTGAGAATGTTGGATATTATTTCTCAACCTTGTTTCATCACTTTTTACCATCCCCTTCACCCAGCCCATATAGAATATTTTTTTTTTTGAGAGGGCATCTCTCATATTTATTGATCATATGGTTGTTAACAACAATAAAATTCTGTATAAGTGACTCAATGCACAATCATTAATCAACCCCATGCCTAATTCTCAACCGTCTCCAATCTTCTGAAGCATAACGAACAAGTTTTTACATGGTGAACAAGTTCTTACATAGTGAATAAGTTCTTACATGGTGAACAGTGCAAGGGCAGTCATCACAGAAACTTTCGGTTTTGATCACGCATTATGAACTATAAACAATCAGGTCAATTATGATTATTTGTTTGATTTTTTATACTTGATTTATATGTGAATCCCACATTTCTCCCTTATTATTATTATTATTATTTT